TGGAGAAAATGTGCAAAAAAAATGTGAACTTAATAATTTTTTTTATTTAAAAATGTCAATTTTTAATTTTTTCTATTTAAAAATACTAACTTTAAACTTTTTTTATTTTAGGATTAATTGGATAATGATGCTAATGTGGCAAATTGATTTTTTAACTGAAATGTTGAAAATTAGTATGTTTAAACCAAGGTTTTTAAAATCGAACCGATCATTGAACCATTTTTGGGTTTGGTTCTCGGTTTGATTGGTTCAATTGGTTGAACCAGTGAATTGATCGGTCCAAACAACAAGGGAAATCTGATGAGAGAGGGAGGTAATTTTGTAATTTTATTAAAATTAAGGGTAAAAATCGGTATAAAAAAGGAATGGTAGGGTGAAATTGAAAAAAAATATAAAGAAAATTGCATGAGAAATTGAACCAGTGGTTTTTTTGGTTTTACCGGTTCTATTGGTTTCATCAGTTTTTACCAATTTTGATCGGTTTGTGACCGGTTTTGACCTCAAACGGTTTTTTTGTATAAACCAAACCATTTTTATTATCGGGTGGTCCAATCAGTTCAACCGACCGATCCGGTCCGATTTTAAAAACCTTGACTTAAATAAAAAAAATTGAAAGTTAACATTTTTAAATAAAAAATGTTAAAAGTTGATATTTTTATTTAAAAATTAACAAAGTTAACAACGTTAAATAAAAAAATAATTAAGTTCACATTCTTTTTTGCACATTTACTCCAATATACCCTACACATTCTCTTTCAAACTTCTCAAAGCTGAAATCTTCACTTAAATGAAATTGCACATTTATGGAGAAATATTAAAGAAAATCGAAGGCTTCCATTTCTTTAAAACAAAAATAATTGTCGGCAGACTTAGGTGTTCAATATAAAATTTGGTGAAATTTTAATATTGCTCGTAATCCCTTTGTAAAGATTATTAATCATTCCCACCCCAAAATATCGTTTGAAAGATCCAAATCAAGAGTCAAAGTGTTGAAGCCCACACAAATTCAGTAAAGATGAGTTATGATTGAGCCCGTGACCATTGTCAAGCAGATGCACAATCACATTAGTTAATGAAGGAGACATGGATCCGACATCTTGGTTGCGTTAGTTATAATTAAATTAAATAGTGTTCTCCTAACATTTTCACTAGATAAATTGAATCAATAACAATTTCAGTCTTCAAAAAACACTTGATAAGATTGGAACAATACAGAGAAAATAGATGATTGATTATATTGATCAGATGGGTTTGTGCAAAATTAAAGTAATCTAGAGAGCAGTTGGGCCCATGGTGTCTTGTATTGTTGCAGATGCATCCAAGCGGTGGCACTGCTGCAACCAGTCTTTAGAGTTTCCTGGTGCACTACTAACTACCACAGTTCGATTTGAGAAAAAAAAGATGGTCTCCTGATCCACCCATGGTTGTTGCTGGTTGGCATGGGTTCCGGACACCGACGACACATTTGTTCATGTCCCTTCTCTGTTGTTCTGGGGTCGTGCTCTTTTCAACTGTTTGTTCCCCGCACTCATTTTCCCAATTATTCTCCATGTATATATGAATTTGATACAAGTTACTCTTTTTTTTTTTTATCATTGAAGAATACTTTTTCAGTATTAACTTTCAGTATCTGAAAATTATATTGAATTTTGATTAATTTAAAGTGAAACCGCGTCGAATCTTATAAATAAGAAACTCTAATCAATACTTATTTTTTTATTCATAAAATTCAAATTAAAAATTTTTTTAAAGAAAATTTGAGTTTTTTTTCATTTAAATTAATAGGTTATTAATTTTATCATTGAAGAATATAATCCACTAATTTATGTTTAAAAAGAAAACCATTAAAAGAAAAGAAAAAGTATGTAGTGTTTTGCACTCTTTTTCATTCTTTTTGTATGTAATAAAGCAAGAGCAACAAAAGCATGCATAAAATGGAATATTTAAAAAATATTTTATTGCATTATTTTCCTTGATCAGGAAGAAAAACTGTCTTTGCATTATTTTATTGCATTATTGCGCACATGGATTAGTAATTAACAGTTAGAAATGATGGATGCAAATAATAATGTTGCTAAGTTTAATGGACAATTATACATACACCCACAAAATCAACACACATCTCAACACCCAAGGCTTATGAACAGTAAAATTATAAATTTACTCCTCCTCATTTTAGCCTAAGGTGTTGAGATGGGTATTGATTTTTTAGGTGTATGTATAATTGTCCAAGTTTAATACATAATTTTTTTAAATTTTGAAAACAGGCAATTGAAGTTAAATAGAATGCATGATTTGATATTGGTTAAAATTCAACTTGGTGATATGGCAATGACACTAAAGTTCAGATACTCAAATGTGCACTGTGCTCATGAATAGTTGTTTTCTCAGTGTAAATAATATAAAATGATTTCAAATCATATCATATTTTTCAATATTTTCATTACACAGCAATTATTTTACCTGAAATATCAAATAGAGAGAGTCATCTTCATTATTAAAGTTGAGGAGTCTTTCTTAAATTATTAAATTAATAATTAATAGAGTCTAAGTTACAAAAAAAATAATAGTTTATAATTTAATAAAATTTAAACTACAAGAACAATCCATTATTTACTTTTTGTGAATTATACGTTCGAATCTTGCAAAAACTCTTTTCTCATCCTTAATTAATTTGTAAATAATTATAATATGTCCTTAATTAATTTGTAAATAATTACAATATGTTAAAAAAAATTACAAAGCTCTTTCTTGCTTCTCTTAACACAGTAATTAGTGTTTTATAATATAATAAAAAAATATATAAATCTCAATTTTTAAAAAAATTAAAGTTATAATCTTAAATTAT